TAAATGGTGAAAAATTGCACAAATATTCTCATAAAGGCATAAGTATATAATTTATGCTTTCCGATGCAACGCAGACCAAGACTTCCAATTTTCATACAATGACCTTGAGTCCCAAGGCACATGGTATGAGCTCCAAATTTTGTTATCGGTTCGTAACCCATCTACTTTTAATTAAATGTAATTACCTTTGTCGTAAAACGTGAGCTTAAGTACGTGACTGCGCCTACTAACCGATACGGACGTGATACTTCGCCGTACCACTCATAGATGTCGTGCACTGTTCAGAAAACCGTCCACTTCAGTTTCAGATACTCAACAGCAGCGTCATTAAAGAACTGCAAAGACGCTTCACTGCCTCCGTCATCAGGGCGATCACCGCACCTCAGAAACGTCGGTAAATTTCTACGAGACCACACGATGCAACATACCAGAAGGCAGTCATCTTCATAATCATAACTATGAGAACCTGAAATCTCACTACGCAGACAAGGTTCGCACCGACCAAATGTTTTGGGCGGCCCCCGTCCATTTTTTAAACTGCATCACTGTTTCATTAACGAAACAGTGTATTTAAATAAAAGGTTCTTCGGATATTTTCCATCGTCTAGTAAAATAATAAAATAGAACGACGTTTCGGAGATGGGGCTTTATCTCCGTCTTCAGGTACCTACTCTGTTCGGCCCAATATATAGAGATAATCCCTATCTCCGGACAAAGTAAAAAGTGAAAGTCCCGGAAGGATGGTGTGGTGATCTTCTTATATTGTAATTGCAGGCCTGCAGAGGAAAACCTAGTTTTCCTTATCTGGTCTGTTTTTCGTAACAATTCCCCTCCCACGGACGCATTCTATACGTACATATATATTAATGTGGGGAAAATGACTCCAGACAATTCAACATTCTTCCCAACACGGACAACTGACAATATCGCAGCAATGGCTGATGACCGGGATCTTCTTTTTCTTCAGTTGGCACTACAGCCATTGATGGACCCTGGCCTCCTTGATGACCGGGTTCTGTTGTTTACAAATAAGAGCTGGCAACATGGTTATAAATGGCGTCTCGCCAAAAATCTAACAGATCTATATAGTACGAGGGGCGGATCATTCTGCCCCAAGTGGCGACGACATCATCGCCTGTTACGTGCCAGCCACTACGCACTAATAATTTATATTCGTATTTTGAACCCGAAAGAGCTGCAGAAGAGCATCGACACGTCTGTTAGTAAGACTTGAGGTTTTCACAACGGTGAGTATGAAGATTTCTGTCTTCTGGTCTGTTAGTGCTCAAACGAGAAGCATTAGTTTTCGTTATTACGCCCTTATCTAATCAACCCGTTCATGATAAGCGAACAAACATTGCGTCATGGTTTTTATTCCAAGATACGTGACGCGCATATCGTGTCAAACAAGATGATCTGGGACAAACCATAGCAAGACGAAGAAAACTGCAAACAGACGAAATCTCACTGCTAAAGAGGAGTGTAAGCAAGTTTTGTTGGATTTACACATTTTAACCATTCTGGATACCTTCTTGCAATGGCGCCACACTTCCAGTTTGTTTCACGTAACGAAGCCGCAACGCCAAGGTCAAAGCAAAGCGCCATAAACAATTTCCCGATGTACTTCATCATCACATTACCATATGTACGAGGTTCGATCGGAAAGTTTCAAGACTGCGCCTATAAAAACCCGTACACTTATCTCAGGTATTAAATTCATCCATCACCCTCGAAGTAGTTCCCCTGGGAGTGAACACAACGATCCCAGCGCCGCTGCCAAGCCTGGAAGCATCCCGGGAAATCTTTCTTTGTCAGCCTGTCAAGCACCATCTGCGATTCTGCCTGAAGCTCTTCTATCGTCTCAAATCTCCTTCCCTTTAGCTGAATTTTCATCTTTGAGAAGAGGAAGAAGTCACACGGAGCTAAATCCGACGAATAAGGAGGGTGCGGGATGACGGCCATAGTGTTTGAGGCCAAAAACTGCCGAACTTTGAGGGCGGTGTGCGCTGGCGCGTTGTCATGATGCGTCGCATGGGGAGTTCTTCGTTTAGAATCAGCTGACAGGTCCCATAGCCTATCCCAACAATGTCGCACAAGTCGTTGATGGTACGACGTCGATCTTCGTAACATTTTCGGGCGTTGTGCTCGAAGATGGTCGTCCAGAACGCTCGTCATCATCGACAGAGGTTCGGCCATTTTTAAAACGTGAATGCCACACAAAAGTTTGCGGACTCCCCAAATGCTTGCTTTAGCATTTCATAGGTTTCCGTAGCCGTTTTGGCGAGTCTTTGGCAAAATTTGATGCACACGCCATTCCGAAAGCGCAGGAGGGTCGGTGTAATGCACTACCAAAACGCCCGTAACTAAGAAACAAATCCTAATTCGATTTCGCCCTCTTTTGACACAGTCTTGAAACTTTCCAATCGCACCTCGTAACAGTTTTTAGAAGCCCATTGGTTTTAAAAGAGACAAGCATCACCCATCGCCCACCCAATTCAAGAACCATGGAGTGGTTGATACGTTAGCCCTTTACACCGACCGTCCGCGTCCCTCATTCTCCCCGCACCGCCATGGACCATTTTATACTTCATCTCACGTCCGTCCATTCTTACGGCAGTGTATAGTGTTTCGCGTTAACTGACATGTTTACGCAACTCGGCCACCTTCATTCGGTCTTCTGTCTTGTTCAGCTGAGATTCTGAACATTTCTTCCTGTTTTCTTTATTTTCAATGTTTGTTTAACACTACAAATTGTATTTCGAAGCTCATGCTTAGTTGATCGACTGAATGACTGCTACAATAATATTTGTAACAGCTGCTGTCCAGGAAGCTCAATGCCGATCACCGTTTTAATTCCGGGTTATATTTCAACGAGTGATGAAACTGGTTTGAATCAACATTCATACACAAAGGTACATACATTTTTTCTCAATTTCGAGGCAGTATATTGAACAGGATCTAATTTAAGGGTTCAACACTCAGCTCTAGGATACGACAAAACTGTGAAACCAGCCTCTCCCCGATTCAATTCAAGCTTTACAAACAAATTATGAATTTTTACTTATTGGCCTCCGTCATCTTTGCGTTCGCATCCCTGCAGATGGCCTATTAAAATCGTTTTGTCCCTCCATCTGTGTGCATGTAAAATTTCTCCCCACTGCTTTGTATTTAACATTCACTCTCGACTATGGGTCACAGGATCCGGGAAGTGCGACCTCATTCAACTCCTTACTCGACGAAATCATTGTTCCCGTCCTCACACACTTTGCCTTTTCAACAAATGTACCAAGCAACTGCACAGAGCCACACCATATGAATCCTCCTTCCACGACCAAGCCAATGTCTTTAGAACGATTTGAGAAACTTTATACGGTTTGGTTACGCGTAATTTGAAAGTTCGTGCCAGAAGACCAGAGCCAGTCAGTCTCATTCATCGGCCACAAATTCAAACCTCCAATAGATCACAGCCGCTGTCTGCCCCCGCCCAACCGCAAGCAAGATTATCCCTTTTCGGCTGCCCGCGACTGCTTATTCCATATATTCGCATTAATCTTCCACATCTAGTGGCCGTCCGGAGGAGCGATATGACACAGTAGAAAGAAGAAAATGCACATAAATCAATTTATCACAAGACATACACAACCAAGCTTTGGCAACTCCCGGCACGCAGGCCACCGATGTGTTTAGTACAGCTCGCGTACGATTTTTAACACTATATCGACCTCTACGACGAAAAATAGTTACTACCCGTCATCAGAAAACATTTTTTGTCACCGTCGTGAATATCTGAGCTGTGAGCATCCTTCAGCTCAGGCCTTAATTAAGAATAGCAATCAAGAACTATGGCGCCTCATCCTCATAAACACTTGGAGAGATACAAGCGAATCGCAATGAGATAGCAAATCTGGTATTTAAAACATTACTGTAGCAAAATCAGCTTTCAAATATCTCACTAATAACATTTTTTTAAAGAAAACTAATGAGTAATATGTGATCCTAGGCCTAGTTTGATAGTATTATTTTAATAAATTCCAATGGCGTTTCAACAAACTGCCCTTATCACAACCTTGATGCCCGCAAGTCGATAACACGGTCCCAGGTCTGGAAATGGTTTTAAAAACCGTAAAAACAAAAATATAGCCACTGTGTACATTTCACGAGTATGTGCACATTTTGAGAGAAAATATATTTTCTAAACTGATTCCGAAGATATAATGTGGATTAAGTCTGGTCAGATTATGGTCCAACGGCACAGTCGGTTTTGCAAAAGTATGAAACTTCTTGACCAATGAACTTCCATGTGTTGAAGAAAGATCCTACACTAGCGCTTTACTTTGCGTTGAACACAACGAACAGCCACATTGGCTTGCAATGGGATTAAAATGATACCCCGCAGCATCGGAGAAAACACTCGCGTTTTCACTCGACGCCGTGAAAACCGGAAATAGAATCGGGTAACGTAACCTTAACATTAAATGAACAGACGCAGAGCTTCAGATTCTGATAATTTTATGTTCATATGTTATAACAGATTTTAAAACCAAAAGGTTAAACCTTTCAGTTATGATCACGCTGTAAAAGTACTTTTACACACAGACAAGCTGATTCCGTCTAGGCGGGTGGCTGCATGAAGGCAACTAAGCGACCTACGTAACCAGCTAGGTTCTCGAAGACCTTACTTCCATATTCCAAAAATGTAATCTCCCACTGGGAAGTGAGGAAGGACGTTGCTGTCACATATTTATGAAATGCTAATGGTGAAAAGAATGGGAGGTGAACAGATTTGAACATATTTCCCAGAATTCACAGCCATTTCTGGAAGAATTACTTCTTTAGTAATGTAAAAATAACGACAAATCAACGAAAGATGTATGTACATTAACTTTTACAAATTCGTTGTAACTTCTGGGCGTGAGACGGGCGAACCGAGAGCAAAGCGCAGGATCTCTCCCACCACTGGAAGACTGAACACCGGATGACAGTTTAGAGTACGCACGCGCGCTCATCAGAGTGCAAGAGTTCTCATGACATCACTACTGACGCATTTATTTCCCAATGTATAAGTGTCAGCAGTTTTGCTACGCTCCACAGCAGCGTTTCCTTTACGAGTATGTTGCACAAAATTTGTTCTGTGAATCAGCCGTGTTGTCTTTCTATTTCGTAGGAACCACAAAACGTTTACCATACACACCTACCAGAACATCGAAGACAAACCGCAACAGCTTCCGAAACATGTTTTCTGGATGAGTTATATATTCATAGTTGCTAGGTGACAACAGGGCAAAGCGATTACTGATAAGGTTCTAATAAAAAATATTCAATTAGCGAAGAGAACCATCTAGAATGCGTGCGAAGCCTTAACAGCGTTGCATGGAGAAAGAGAGAGCTCTAGATAATGTAAACAGCACGTGATATGTGAAGGAAACAACCGCACGCCCACTGCACATAACGAAGTGTACCAGTTGGCTTAAGCAGCAAAACCGGGCACGGGCTTTCTGTACGATGGCACCGCAAGTTGGTGAAGTCATATTGTCCAACCAGCTGCACGGAAGGATGGGACGGCCCCTCCACGAGATTCCCACAACATACGACTTGCAGTCAAAGCTTTCCGCTTTTTTTTGTTCAGGTCAGAACCTTTACTAACATAAGAACTCATATTTATCTACTCCCCCTTTGGTCTCCTCCCATATGTGCGTAAACACAGACAACACGGGAGAAGGCAGACAACGGATTACAGTCCTGAAAGGATGATGATACGTATTCTCCAAGTGGAACTGGATACGTTTAACCAAAGTGCTTTGAAAGTGATGCCATCGTGGATAAATGTAATGGTTACAACGTCTTCTCGGTTTTACAAGATTTCCAAGTAGGAAAATGAAACTATGTGAAGATAAAAATGCGAGTGTTGGTGCTACTGTGCTTGGCATTGTTGTGCTGCGGGGCTAGCAAGCTCTGTGACACGGGAGGACTGTGCTCATGCGACCGCACATGGGGGAAGATAGAATGCTCCTGCACCTCTACCGAAATTAAGGTAATTCCACCAGACACTAGGACATTCAATACGAGAGCTCGTCGTTTTCCACATAACGGAATATTTATAGTCCTGAGTGAACTAAATACAGTGGATTCCGGTTAATTGGGACACATCGGGACTAGAACACCTTGGCCCAATTAAGTGAAGTTCCACGCAAAGAGTTAAAAAGGTGTGTTCTTTAAGATCTGTCCCAAATAAATGGCTCACCCGATTAACCGATGGCCCAATTAACCGGAATCTACTGTATCTGCTTTGTTCCAAACGTAATCGAGTATGACGACGATCATCGTCATTTTATAGCTATTTGCTGTGTTGCAATAACCTCCCTACCTCACCAAAAACGAAGTTTCCTGTTTATGTTTGCCGTCAGAACAAATAAAGTTCTCCTAAGCCAGTTCCTTTAACGTCCCATTCCACACTCTAGCTCCCCTTGGACCCATCTCACCGTCGATTTTCCAAAGACTTCTGCAACAAAATTCTACTTTTATTTCTTTTCCCCAACATCCTAGCCACATTTGTATCCTATCACAGCCTCATAAATGTCATGTTTTGGATTCAGTTCGTTTTATTTACACGGATCTGATGGTAACAGTTTTGGGGTCTCTTCAATTCCAGAGTATTAAAATTTCCGAATCTTTTGGTGAATCTGGTCAGTATACCTATGGAGGTATAAATTCATGTGAAAAGGTCCCAACGTTCACAAATGTGTGGTTCTACTGAAAGAGGGATTCATTTACTAAAACGGACAGCTCATTACTGCAGACTTTTAACACTATATAGACCATCGTATTTTATTTCATTTCCAACACACACACAATGAGATCCAGACCTGTACCAGGTTATGATACAAAATTTTGGCATGTTCTTTTTCTGCACTTGTGAAAAATAACGCACAAGCTTCATTGCTGCACAAGGTAGGGGCGGGTAAACACTATGTAAAAGCAAAATAGTCACATGTCTATTCAATGCCTGAATAATCTTCCACCGATCAACCTTGTACATGAACAAGAAGCCACCAGACAGACGCCTGATAAAGCGAGGCGTTAATGACACTAATTTAGGATAGGACTTAAGCTCGTAAAGTGGCTGGTTTGCTAAATAATATGTTGGGCAAACTAATGTGAGTTTATAATACTGTGCAGACATAGGATAACAGGTCAAATTCCAACGTAGATTCATGCATTATTTAACAGCTCTGTTTTAACCGCCTAGCATCAAATAAGAAGAGATGATGATCACAATGTGAGTAAGGATATGGAAGGAGGTGGTCGTAGTCTTACTTTTTGTCAGAATGTTCTGTAATGCATGAAAGAAGCTGAACACTTATCAGCACTTGTGTGACCTTGGTAAATCATGATAAGGAAAGATAGAGATATGAACTGTCCTCAAACTTTCACCATGTATGGAAACATTGGCAAGACTGTGATATAAAAAAGATGGCAGGAAGTCAATGTTAGAGATGGTGCAGGTACCAGTGCCTACATCTGTGGCACATCCATGAGTATATGATGTTTCTTTCTAAAGGGTGAGGTTCAGTATTTTTGGCCTAGCAAAATCAGACATGTCATTTGTGATGAGACACAGTTGATACATTAGTCATTATTGTATATAACAGATGGGCTTGCAAATTTAATTTTGAAAAAAAGAACTATAATTTACTTAGAAATGGCATGTCTATAATTTTAATGAAAATTCCACACCAAAATATAAGATAAACCATTACAAAGTATCAGTTCATTCAAAGAATTTATTGAAGTCTGAGGAAAGCAAAACAACAGATATTAGTAAGAAGCCACTCCTTAAGATATTGAACTGAGAATGCTGGGTGGTTTATTTACTGCAGCTGAAAGTACAACTGTATAGAATATTATTATCAAAAATGAATCAGGAGATAACCAAACTAAAATGCAGAGCTCAACTTCTAAAATAACCATTACTCGGTAACATTTTGTTGAACTGTTACATGTAATGGCACTGCAACACTATTTTACTAAAAACACAAATGGCAAACAAAAGTATGACCATACAAAAACTACAACACTGGATCTTAAAATTTGATAACAGAGATAGTAATGACAAGCAATATCATTTTTACTAGATGTGTGAACAACAAAGTTGCAGAAACACACCTGTTAGCTTTGCCTGTCCATCTACAAGTAACAAGTTAAGAATGGCTCAATGAATTTTCACTGATAAACTTTTCTCAAAAGTCTTATGGTATTCAAGACTAAACAAAAGACCCCCCCCCCCCCCCCAAATGTCATCTCATAACTCATGAATCACTGGATGATTCTCATCGCATTCTATAATGGAGGTACTTGCTTGTTCCCCACTACCCCACTTTACACAGCAGCATACACATACATACATACACACACTGAATATAAGAGAGCATTAAAAGTTGACATTCATGAATTTAAAATCAAGATTCACCAGAATTATTATACTATGTAGGTATTTCCCAACTTATTACATATGCAAGTTTTATTGCTGTTCTTTAAAACGGGTCCGCAGTGGCCGCACGGTCTGAGGCGTGGGCCTTCTGCTGCTTGGTCGCTGGGACCATGGGTTCAAATCCCATTCAAGCCATTGATGTTTTTCTGTGTTGTGCTGTCCTGTGTACAGGTAGAGGCCTTGCGGCGGGCCGATCACTCGTCCAAGGAGTCCTACCGAATGTCTATAGATCAAAACCAACGAAAAGTTGGGACCTGCAGTGCTCAGGCACTTGAAGAATGGGTCATCTAAGTATATTTTAGCATGTCTGATGTGAATTCCTGGAAATTAGAAGCTAATAAGGGGTGTGAACATGTCAGTCTAGCATTATTTTGATATTTGTTTGATTCTGAGCCATGTTAAATTATTAATCACTTTTCCCAAATAATAAACTAAAGAGTAATGTTAAACAGAGTTAGCATATCATAATTTGGCATTTGTGAGATTTTGGACCATATGGGTCAATGCTCAGTCAGTATTAAAATTATTATAATGACATTACTTCATTCTTTATTGTAAAAATCACAGCAGCACAATGTCTCATTTAATATTTTTCTAATTTCAATGCTTTCATTGTTTGTTTTAGGAGCTGACATTGAGCCCATCTAATGTGCCTGAGGGTACAGTCTACCTTCGGATACAGAACTGTTCCAAAGTTTATGTTTCGCCACACACTTGGGTAAACCATCGTGAGGTGCGGCATGTGGAATTCTTCAACATCAAGGAACTCATTATTGAAAGCAATTCATTCAGCTGGAATGAAACACTTGCACTAGAACCAGTTCCTCAGCCTGGGTTGGCTGTCAGTATTATCAGCTCAAGGATTCGTGAAATTCCAAGTTATACTTTTAAGGGTCGTCTTACAGGCATTACTTTTAACAATGTCACAATTGGGAAAATACGTGCATTTGCATTTGCTAGTCTTCATAACACAGAGAAACTCGAGTTGATAGAATGTTCTGTAACAACCTTTGAAGCACAAGCTTTCAAAAAGTTCTCTTTAGAAAAACTAAAAATCATTGGTGGACACTTCGGTGGCAGTGTGCCAAGTAGGACTTGGGTAGATCTTGAGGTGCATAATGAGCTGTTAATTGAAAGAGTCATCTTCAGTACTTTGCGCAGTTCTGCATTCATCATTCATGGTCCTAAAATCTTCCGTCTTTTTGAAAATTATTTCGATAATGTGGAAGGAGAAGCTTTCCATGTAAAAATGCATGGAAAAACTTTAATCCAAAACAATATATTTAAGACATTGGCTAAAGGAGCATTTATTCGCATTAGTGTTGAAGACTTTATTATAAAAATCAAAGGTCGTCCAGCACTACAGTTTGAAAACAATACTATAGAATTTTTTGAAAATGGTTGTTTGGTGTTCAACACAACGAGTGTTGAGGCTCAGCTCGACCACATTCTTTTAAATCAGACATGTTCTTGTACTCTACTGGAGACGTGGAGCTCAGAACTCGACTTCCATTCATCTCTACACAATCATCAGAATCAACAAGAAAGCTATGCGTCAGATGTGTTCTGGTGCAAACAAGATGTGTCAGAGAACAATGGTAGAAGTTATATCCACTTCAAAGATTTCAGTCAACAATGTGTAGTAACAACTGGTCTTCATATGTTCCTAATTATCATTTTAACATCATCACTGCTTCTGCTGGCTCTTGTTCTATTAGTAATATTCTTGTGGAACAGACGTCGATCTCGCTACCAAAAACGTTGGATCAACGTTCCAACAACTCCCAATAATGACAGCAAGAAGAAGAAGTTGAACAATAAAGGCAGCAATGTACAAAATAAAAGTGAAAATGGGCAAGATTCCAGACTTATAATGGTTGTGCCTGGTGGCCGAACATACAGAGAAATGGAACTGCATGTGATAGAAGAGCGAACAGAACCAATTGTGGAACATGAATGTGTAGATACAACTATTGATGAACGTTTTGTGAATAATAGGTAGTAAGAAATTTCATCCATGTTCTGATACAAACTGGCTATTATTTCAGTGTAATTGTTAAGTCTGCATAGTTCATGCCTAAAACATAGTACATGGAATTTTGAGTATTTGTTGAGTGAGTGTATAATCACAGGATACTAGTCTTGAAGCCAATGAATGCCATGTTAAGCAAATTTTCTGGATGTTCCAGCATAATCCAAGAAGACATAGAAATGCTGCTACTGTGTACAATTCAGATCCAAACAGGAATATGACTAAATTCACAAAAATAAACTGAAGAAACAGCAGGTGGATATAACTGCTTTTAAGCCCTCATTATGGTTCATTGTTTATGTTATCCTGCTTTTTGATGTTGGCACCATGTGGAAGTGAGCTCTGTTTCTGATGTTCAGAGGAACATACTGCCTCCATCATCATTAGACGCAGTGCCAACACTCAAGAACAGGATCAACATTAACAGAAGAATATGACATATGACATATTATTTCATGAAAATTCACTAATATACTTACTATCAGTTTATTTAATGAAGATTTCTCAATTGTTTATGTTATGTAAAATTAAAAGAATAATGATTATAATTATGAAGGTGGAAGACTGTGAAAGGTACTAATTGTTAACAATAAATAACCAACAGTGTGCCTTTTACGTGTTCATGCGTCCTTACCAAACTGCACTTACAATAAAGACTCATATGTTCATCTCACATCTTCTAAAAGATAAATGTAAATTATGACTTTGGTTCAATCCTATTTACAGTGTACTTTTGTTATCCAAACATGACTGACTGATTCTTAGAAGATCCATGCTATACGGATGCAAATGAGATGGGATGAGATCATGGTAAACAGACAAGAATTTAGAAGCAGGCAAGTCATATTTTATTAGATGGTATTGATCTAGTATTTGCTTGGAAAGAGTAAGGAAAACTACAAAACCTTGTGGGGTATCTACTAATATTGTGTTACTGCTACATAAACCGACTTTACTTTCCCTCTGAAGGAAGTCATGCTACAGACTTTTATGACCCTTAAAAATCCATGAACCTCGACTGGGTTTGAACCCACAAACCTTGGATCCAGTGGCAAGCACGCTACCAGTACCTTGGATGACGAGATACGTATGTATTTTAAAATTATTCTATAGGATCGCGTCTTAAATGTGGCCATCTCATTTATTAGTAACATCTGCAACTAATTTTTAGTCAAAGTTCAAGTTATTACGTATCCTTGAATCTCCAATCCTGATTTGTACAGACTTACTGTTTCAGATTATTAAAAATGATTAAATTCATACTTTCATTAGTTGTAGGTTTCCTGTAAACGAGTAACATGCTTCTGTAGTCGAATCCCACTTTTATGCTCTGGGGCTGCTATTATGGTGGTTTACTTTGTTCTGAGAATGTCTTAGACCAGAAAGGAAGAACTTGTAGTCACTTTACAGGTAATATCCCAATTCATGCAAAATAGGTTAATGGAAGGCCATGAAAAACCAATCAACAAAGACATCATATCAACAAGTAAGGACACTTCTGCTGTTATGTTGGAAACATTCATGTGAACATCATTACAAATCTGTAGCCATGTGATATACACCAAACATCAACTATGAATTCCTTAATGTGTACCAATATTTTTTTATAAAAATGTATATACAATTTTCTGAGATATTCTGTACATGTACTGTAATTACAGTATCTGTTTATGTATATAGCAACTTTGTATCAGAATCCTCCTTGTCCACAAATCATGGTTGGTGTACCATCCACAAACACTTTCAGAACTAGCAGTAAATTCATATACTAGGAACTAACATGAAATTCACTCCTACACATCGCCGTAGTGTAATATGTTTTACATTCGAGGTTCTTCTCGTTAATCTGTTAATTTGTCAGGAACGGGCTTGATGAATTTGTTGTAGACGGCGATCTTGATTGTGCCACAATGTAGTCTTGTGGGTAGTTAACCAATATTTTGGAGGAACATACCATCTATATTTCCAGGGTAGAAGATGAAGTAATACTTTTCCCTGAAACACTGGTAACTAACTATACAGTGTTAGAACCCAGAAGACTAAAATCCACATTTCTACCCCTGTGAAAAACTCGAATGTTTGTTATTTTTATATTGGTCACACCTATTTATTCTGAAAGGAATGTGTGGCTGTTCAGATGCTCTGATTCTCCTAGTTTTGATTACCAATCCAGAAGAAAAGCATGTACTCACCTAAATGGCAGGATTCCCTCCAATGCCTGGGTGATTGTAGGAGGATTAGCCAATGCAAATCCCTTGGAGAGTAAAGCTGAATGACTTCTATACACATGTTGTGCCAGTTCTTCGACCATGTCCATATCCTCATCCATCTCTTCCACTGGAAATACATATATAAATCTCATGTAAAACTGAACACGCCGGCCGCAGCAGCCACGCGCTCTGAGGCATGATCCTCGTGCACCCGACTGCTGCAGCTATGGGTTTGAGTCCCACTCAAGGCATGGCATCATTTTCTTTTCTGTGATGCCTGTGGTGAATATACAAATTTCTGACAGAAACAAGATAGGAATCAGTAACACTGATTCATACTGCAGAAACACCAGCAAATAAAATGGAAGTTTTGGTATAACTTCATCACTGCACACATTTTGTATTAAACAGCATCTCAAATATGGTCCAGTATTCTATTCTATTTTACTCTCTGTATACCCAGCCCAAGTGGCATATATTGCGATCTCATGTACTCAACATGTATGTTAATTCCACTAAAAATTCAAATGGTCTTTGCATGACAAATTATTAAGATATTCAGGAAGTGTTCTTGTAGGCATAAAAAAATTCAAATCTGAACTTCATACCACATTTTTCATGATTACTACTTGTCATAAAAAATTACACATGCACCATTATTCACCAACAAATTTCCTATCCTGTCACTACATGCTCTTGTACATAACTGAATGATGCTTCAATCTTGTACAGACTCTTGCAGCAAAATTAATCCAAAGCAATCAATATACCAGTGCATTAGAACTGCGATTGATCCTTATCATACTATATCTGGTTAATGCATACAAGTGAAGTAGAGGAATTGTGTATTGCTGAAATAAATTAAGTACTGTTAACTAATTTATATACCTGATACTGGTGGCAAAAGAAGATCTTTCTTCATGAGTGATGCTGCACACATTCCACCCAGAAAGGACAATTCAGTTTCAAGGTGCTTCAATCCTTCCCCTGGGTTAGAATGCCACTCATATCCAACAACCAGACATCGGAATCCATAGGAACAAGCCTTCTCATCTTTCACATAGTCTGACGCAGTTTCCAGAGAGAATATCACTTCATTTCCTACAAGAAAGAAACAATGTAATTCCAAACACAGTTAAATATTAGTTTTCACTATCCATACAAAAGCTCTATTATGGTTATGATTCAAAACCACAATTAGGCAGATTAAAATAAAAATATCTGCATACTCGGAAGAGTCAAATTCAGAGTATCACAGCTTTCAATCAAAAACGTATTATGCATTCTGCTGGTGGTGGGCTCCTGTGAACATGGCAAAACTCCAGGTTCTACAAAAGGTGAGGAATATCTTGACTAGCTTCAATATACTATTAGCTTATCAAGAAGGACTCTGCTCTATGAAATTATTTCATTATAAATTAAGAATAAAATAAGCTACAATACTGGATACACTATTCAGTTTTTCAGACACTGACCTGGTAGAACAACTGCCATCTGAGGCCAATTATTGCTCCCTCTATTGAATTTCTGTAATACTGGCCAGTACGGAACAGGGGAAGATTCAACATCACAGTCCTCTACAGTTTGTTTAGCAACTAGATTGGAGGGGAGACTTGGTATATACAGTTGTAAAGAATCCTCTGCTTGTGCTGTACCACACTGGGGGTCAAACTCGATACAAAGCCACTTCACACTCTCCGGAAATGAAACCCTGCAAGTAGAGGGAATCTTCATTGCATTTACAAAAATTTAAAGCTGCAGAGACAAGACATTGATTGTAAGATACATTAAATTGTTGAAGTCTGGTTATTAATTTGCATTATGCTTTGTTAATTTATTTATTGTAGTTAAAATAACAATGCTGAAGTGGAAAGAATGTGGAAGGAAGTGGCCATGGCCTTTTTTAAAATCCTACTCTGGCATTTGCCTAGAGGGACCGATAAAAACACAAAACCTTCAGTCACAAGACCTGGTATTCAGGCTGGCATTTGATCCAGGCCCTCCCAAATACAAAAAAGGAATGCTAACCAGTCATCAATGACAATCAGTAACTGTGCATTATGGATTCCCAATCCAACACTTCAGACACTGTCTCTGCCTACATCATCTGGGTTGATCAACCATAATGATAAAGACGAAGAATCATTGATAAGACTGAAAATCCATATTTAGACTGCTGATCACCCAAGATAATGTAACTACAGATAAAGCATATTGATTCTGTGATTAAATTGCACCACACTCTATATTCTTGAAGATCTTAACTTTACTTAGTCATTAACCTACAGTTAAAACTTCCACTTGTTATAACCATATATACCTATAGTTTGAGACAGTAGCAGGCTTGTAAGGATGATCACTCTCCACCCACGCATAGTGGTGTGATGTGGTACACATGGCAGAAGGCTGAAAGTAGCCTTGAGAATCCTGACCTCCAACACTGTCCAGAGATCCTGTAGACTGATGCATATTGCTATTAAGCAAGTTCAATGCTGCCACGTGAGGAAGCAGTTCCTGGATAAGATTCAGTACCTGCACACCACTCTGTAACACAAACACAAACTAAAATCAGAACCAATGCAAGTAAATAGCTTGCCTTCGTTTGCATGCACAATTCGGCATCAACTGCGCATATACACCTGCCAAATCAAATTTCAGTTGGCATTCCTTCATCAGCAAGCACTGGGATCATAACTGCCACCTCAATTCATTCACAATTCAAAGTAAATGTAGGAAGAATGTCTTTTTAGTTAACATAGTATTCTTCAATCATTCATCAAAGTAGAAACACGCAATTTCTTTGCAATGTGGCTAGCCAATTTCATTATATTTATAATGGACAGACCTCAGAAAATAATTGAAGGTAATTACAGGAGAAAGAACAGAAAAACATCAGAACAACAGTTCAAATTTCTGTAAACTTTTCCAAATATTGAGACACTGGCCACATGGAAGATAAATGAAACAACTTAGCAAATTCTCTCTCTATAAAATTTATGTGTAATTGCTGCCACTGAAACAGCAACAAATAACCAAACAATAAATCAATCAAAACTGGTATGTAGGCAAGAGAGATACATCATAAACTGAAATACATATTGCTCTTTGTTATTTTTGAAATCCATAAATGTTTTAATAGTTAGGAATATGTCAAGCTTCTGTCTGAATCATCACTGTAATATTAACTGTCTGTTTCTTAACGTATTATTACACTTCCACAACAGCAGAGGTTATGTAGCATCAAATGGGTGACTGGGAATGATAAATGGAAAGGATGTCAAAGGATTCAGTTGTGACCTATTCTAATGTAATATATCAGCATCCTGTCTCTAAGTGGCAATATCTTCTCTTTATGAATATAAACTAGTAACCTACATTATGAATTTGAAGAAATGAAACCGGATCAATACTTTCATATTTTTGACAGATGGTTTTAGATTAAAAACTGACTCCATATGATTTTACAACAAAAGACATTAAAGTAAAAAAGTTAAGAACAAAATTCACATTGAACTATGCAACTTGGAAACCTATTACACATATGTTTTAATGTTTCTTGCACTCACCCTTGGGTCTAATGTTGCTAATGGACTAATGTGTGCTAGTATGAGAGGTAAAAGTGTTGTAAGGATGCAAGCACTGCCCAGCACTTCTGTGGCTATCTGATCTTCTGCACGTTCCCTTGCCAAAGCCATCAAATCATTGCAACGCTGAACGATAGCTGATGTCATAGACAGTGTACACTTGCAAGCCTGAAGTTCTGCCCATGCTTTGCTAGTTTGCTGACTTTCTGAATCCTGAGGATTGCTGTGTGATTGAACAAAGTCAATATAAACTCAGTAAACACTCCAGAAACTCTATACATCTATATAACCAGCAGCTTACACAAACTATGTACATGCAGACAAGATCAATTTGAATGGAAAGGTGCACTCCAATTTAGAGTAAATATATTTTCCAATTCCTTGCAGTTTTGCACAACACCTTGATGTGTACTTATTACAGATACAAACAAATTAGTACAAAAGTAATCACACTACAGATATCATACTGCACAAGCCAGAAAAAATTTAGAGTTATTTTATAAATATTCACCATATCCAAATCTGTTTTCAAAAAAGTTTTACATCTTCAAACTCACCGCCAAGAAAACCTCAAATCCTACTTAATGATATCTATTGTATGTCATATATAAATGTTCTATATGAGCTACTTCTGTGAAACAAAAAAGTTCAATTTCATTTTCTCATAAATTAGAAGTTACACTGAACTGACATGAACTTAAATTAAACTTAACTAACAACTTTTCATTGCAGACATCCCACCCAATACCACATTCCATTAAAATCTGTCAAATGGTTTAAAAATGAAACACGAAAAAGGATGGACTGATATTTCCTTGCCATTATGTGCTCATTTTATGCAGTTTGAGTAAAGAATATATAAAAAACTGTAATGTTCCAGACCATACAATGTTTATTACATACACAATTCTACCAAACAATGGTAATAAGTAAACAATGGATATGGAACTAGGAGAATTAAAGAGAAAATGTCCACTGCAATTTTATACACCAAAAACCTCGCATGGAACCAAGTTTTCATTTCAGGTCAGCTAGGGGCAAGGGTAAATCACCGCTTTACATAGTCAGTTGTAAATGAACTACCAATATATACCTGTAGTAAAGAATCTGTGGTATCTGTCCTCTGGTTTGTGTGGTTCCATTGAAACTCAGAGAACAGGTTGAGAAAGCAAATGTAGTACCATCTGGTCCCTTCACAGAACTCAGTCCTCCGTCTCCATTACTAGTACGACCACCATGATTCCTCAAACGGACAGCATACTTAACATTCTCTTTGATGGGTACTGGTCTATCAAATTTAACTTCTGCTACATCAGCTACACAGTCATCTGGACCAAATGTTCCTCGTGCCATTTCTAAGCTATTCCAGCGCTGAGTGTGTGATGGATCATTGCCACTGTTATTTTGCTAAGGAAATGATATGTACTGATATACTGCATATAAATAAAACAATATACTACAACAAGAACACAGTTCAACACATAGTACAATGAGTTATTAATCAAGGAGGATGAAGTCAGCAGGACACAAAACATGCAGCGAGGAGATGGAAAATTTTCATTAAAATGTAGTCATAAAACCTACAAGTAGAGGATCACTTGGGATACAGGATAGCATTAAAACTGATTAAAGAAGTAGGATATGACAGACTGAATCTGAGTAATGATTGGGTCTTGTGGCACACTCCTGTTCATACAAAAATGAAGTTTTGGTTTCATAAAAGACAAGGATTTTCTTGACCATCTGGCTTCTGAGAACAGATTCTGCTCCAAGGAGTTAACTGTTGAATACATCAGGTAGGAAATAGTCCTGGACTATGACAATAAATAAAAAGTTATGAAGAATACCAGTCAGCACAACAGAATTTTAAGAACTGATATACAACATGGAAATGTTATTACTGCTATCAAGTGTCAAATTCTCTGTGCATTAGAATTCATTGAGTAGTTGAAGATAATTACAAGATCACTGAAGCATGCAGTGACTTAAAGTACAGGCAGATTACAATTAAATTACATTATAAATTCACTGGCTCTACTTACATCATCAAGAAGCTCAAGTTCATATTCATATGTTCCAACTCCCCCATAAACACAAACTCCTGCTATCACAATGCCAGATCGGTCAACAGAGAAACAAATGGCATCAGGAGAGCCATTTCCAGTGTTCCAAGTACGACTCTGATTAGTCCGTGTGAAACGAGATGGAGTTGTGTGAAGAACACGTCCACAGGCTCCTTGTAGGTCCTCCTGAGTGTAAGATCAATCAGTGTTCTATGTAAATTTACTAATAAAAGAGGGCTCACTCCTGTCATTGATTTCTGAGAGAAAAACTGTATTTATAGGTTGACCATGTGTATGCCTTTGTACATATACCTCCCACTTTCTTAAATGTTGAAACAATATTCATAAAACTTGGTATGAAGATTATGTTGGTGCCCCCCTTTCCCCAGAATTCCAAAGATGTACCTCTTCAAACCATAAGCCTATTTACACAGGTGAAAAAACATCAATCAGACAAAATTCCTACTTGCCAGACATTTTTTCCACAAGGAAATCTATCATAACTTTTATCAGCAAACAACTGATTACTAATGTGTACAATCTAGTTATAAGTCATACTATTGAGAGCTCTTGGCATTTTATGTGTCATGTGGCATCTTACATGAGTCAAAACAGTCTAAATGATACAAATAAATGGATTACTCGCACTTCTGAACAAAAATAACCAGCAAATTGCATTCTTCTCTAATCTTTTTCCTACATTCTGATGTTAAAACTTGTCAGTGTCACATTAACAAATGTTCCCATGTACCCATGCTCAATATTTGTGGAGAAACGGAAAAGAGCAGGAGAAAATATTAAAAAAATAAAAAAATTCTCGTTATGGATGATGCCCAATTACTTCACCCAAAAATTAAGTCTGTTTCTTCAGCTGTGTCACTACATGGCTTATGATGATAAATTCTAGGATTAATTTATCATGAAAACTGCAGAAGTAACATTACTGAATTATTTTAAAAGCATCGAGTCACTGAAGAAAATAACTCCCATGACTAGTTGTCTTTAAACAGCTCTTCCCTTTATAATCATTACCATAATTATCATCTACCAGGTATGTTGCTGACCCATTCTGATTCAGAAGAAATCTTCCCATCATCTTCTGGGAAGTCCCTTGACCAGTGCATTTGTATTCTAGATATATCTGGGCTAATCTATTTGGTTTCAATCATAGCACATTTGCACTAATATTCTTGAATGTGTATTGTTATACACATGGTCATAAAGGGTACGTCAAGATACACATCATAAAAAGACCATTTATCCTGTTTCTCTTCCCATTTTTTAATTATCTAAAGCAATAATTTTTCTTTCTTGCCTGTCAACTTTTAAAAATCTTATTTATTTTAAAACACTAGCCTACCTTTTTAGAAGAAAGACCATGTGAAGAACAGAAGACATACTGAAGCAGCAACAATATTCACATAATAATCAAAATAATGAGAGGATATATAATAATACATTACAGTCCCAGCCTTCTTAATATGTATGTAACATGCACTATTTGTTATGATGTTCAGTTTCACGCAACCCAAAGACCTTGCAACCTGACACACACAAAAATGCATACTTACATCAGTTCCACTTGACTGAGAGGCCAATTCAGCAACTACTCTGGCAAGCAAATGACAACAATTCTGAACCAGTTCACTTGAATGTATTGTTTTCTCTTGGCACAATGATTGTTTTACTGGAACAGTCACCAAATCCAGCAATCTTTCCAATACTTCTTGAAACAACCAGTTCCCTATCATCCCACTACCCTCCAACTGCAATAAAATGTAAATTAAATTATGAAAATCATACTTACAACACTATCCAACATGCTCAGTTTTTCAGAATATAAAAACACAGAAAATTTCAACAGTATGGCAGAGACAAGTTTTTTGAAACTAATTATCACCTACGTTCTTTATTTTATACAGAACTTGCAACAGCATACTTGACATGTATGTTAGCCACAGAAATTAGTGGCTAATATAATACCTCAGTAAATAACCACTAACCTGACTTCTGTAGCTCATCTGTTCTACAAGAATAGGATAATGATGTCCATCAACACATGGCATCATAGGCAACCCTGTATTGTCCGAAGGGCTCAACTGTCTCTTAAGAGATGAGTCTGAAGTGTCCAAGACACTGTTAAGAATAGGGAATGTAGAACGGAGACGTACAGTTGGACTGCAAAGAGAGGCCAACACTGCACTCAGCAGCCTGTCACAGTTTCCTTGCATTCCATCATCACCCTGTAGGCAAGACAATAATTGTAAAGTTATACACAAAGTGTGTCAAATATTCTGACCAGATTATCAACAGTGATAAGGAAAAGTTCCTGCTGTGACAACCAAATTTCAATAATAAATATGGATTTGGAAAAACTCTGTATCAACAGTTGCCATAACTTCAGGAATGTTCAAGTAAATATATGTGTTGGAGGTAAAAACCAACTACTGTGAACCAATGTTGGAGGTCACTATTATCTTCGCTAAAAACTATACAGCAAATTACATACAAAAACCTACAAAAATAAATCTTTTTGCAATTTCTAGTTGTTATATAATTTCAGCAAAAACCTGCAATTCGAGTTATTTAATAGGGACTGAAATTCTTGCAGTTCAGAACACAAGACACAACAATTTGTTAAAATTAGCATTCGTTAGGGTATGAATACTCCTGTGCACCAAAAAAGGCATTACATTTTTTTATTTCCTTCACAAACCACTATCAACACATCAACCCACCTAATGTAAAATTATCTCTCTATTTTACTCTTGAATGACAGTCATTTCTCTTTTTTACTCCCTGGGCCTGATGGAATTTAATGGAAAATAGTATATACAGCAAAGTCTCACACCACAAAATTCAAGATGGAGTGGAAACATGTGTTTATAGACATACAGGTAAGCCTACACTTCAATCTGTTATTAATTTAACACATTCACTTCCAAAATTAAGGTTTTCCACTTACTGGAAATGCTTTTATATTGCCAGCATTTAAAAAAAAAATTTAGTGCACCACTCTTATACTATCAGGAAATGTGACATCAACAATAGATAGAGATTGCTTGAAGGGGATGTTCATATCAAATTTCATGGCAGTCAACTGATTCAAAGTCTGACAGAAGGATCAGACAGCTCACAAGCCTATTCTTTATTTTACGAATGTATAGTAAGCCAGGAAATATAAAATGACACTGAAATACTAGCTGCAGTTTATCAGCAGGATACAGAATAAAGACTCCTACCCTCCCACCCCTACAAATGAACACCCTCGTAATGAAGATGTATAAACTTGTTACTTCTTTTATACAGCATAAAGGCAATGTTTTAATCACTTAGATTAATTAGCACTAAATTTAGATTTAAAATGGTACAATTTCTCATTCTACTTATCTTCCAGTTGTAATTGCAAACATTCAAATACATGCCATCCTATGTAAGAATGAAGAAAACAAAACTTCTGAAATAATAAATAGAATTATACCTTATTTTACAACTGGCAGTAGTGTCAGTGCTGTATGTTTATATGTTACACATTCCCCATTGTCAGACCCTCGAGCAACAATATTCGAAAAATATACTCTTTGGAGCACAATTACTTTCCAAAGGTTTTCTTCATACCACATAATAGAGACCATTGTTGCACTGGCATAATCTGAAGTCAATGATGCATCAAAGGAAATAATGTCATCCCAGGTCATGCAGGTTGCATATTCCTGGAGGAACAGTGACCCCCTGGCCTGGCCATGCATATTGAGTACCCCCCATGAAAAATGAGCCAGATATACAAACATGGACCATCCATTAAGTATGGCATTCTTTGTTCATGCCAGAACATGAAGAATGCCTAAAAACAATAATTTCAAAATAATTATACTTACTTTATCCATTAATGCTAGCAGATCACACAAGCAAGTCCATTTTAAAAAGGCTGTTGGATAGAAGGCATGAAAGCATGACACAAATGTCTCATGACACTCTTTGAGGATACTTGCTGTCATTTTATTATAGGGAGTTGAACCTGAAATAATATGCAGTGCTATAAATAACTAAATTGTCTATATGGATACATAAATATTACATAAATCAAGGTTTTCCAAAATGTTTTCAAACTATCAATATCTTGTAAGATTTGAGGTTTTCACAGCAATGAGTATGAAGATTTCTGTCTTCTGGGTTGTTGCGCCGTGTAGTCTGGTTGATGCTAACCAATGTTTCAGAGGTCATACAGACTCCGTCATCGCCCTGATGACTGAGGCAGTATGACCTCTGAAACGTTGGTTAGCATCGACCAGACTACACGGCGCAACAACCCAGAAGACAGAAATCTTTATCAATATCTTTAATAACTGTTCAAAGAGTAAACACAAAACATTTTAGACTCAATTAACATCAAAATTTAAGGCCTATGAATAAAGATAATTTTACAATAATTTTGAACGCAACAATTTACTGCACATCTCCCATATAACAACATAATGAATACCTCTCATCAACATCATACACTCTGTATGGTTAGGTGCTTTGCACCAATTCCTATGAATCACCTGTGACTGTCAATAATAAAGCACTGAGTCAAAAAGTCACATTTATCAACATATGATCAAATAAAATCAAAAAATGAAAGCAGAAAACACAGCAAATGGCAAATAAGTTAGTGATCGTGGGCCAAAGATATGTATCTGTTATATTTCTCATGCTTCTAAATAGATAAAGTTAAAATACTCACTTTTTAATGAACGGTTCTTTCCACTTTTACGTGTAACACTGGTACTAGGAATAGAGTCTGAGAGGATTTGACGGAGTAGAGCTCTTACATCTCCCACACACTCAGCCAAGCGTACAGACTCAGCTGGTATTTTCTTGGAACCAACTGCAATAAGTGAAAATTAAAAAGTGTTATATCATGACATGACACTGTATACCAGCTTGTTAGAGATGCAGTACTGTTGTTGCCGTTATTATATATGAGAACATTTGCCTAAATAATGCAAATACCATGCTTACACACATGTAGGTCACCACTGGTACTACCAGTGAAAAGGTTATAGCAAGCTGGAGACACAGGAAGGTTGTGACCAAATCAACATTCTGAGGCCTAAAGCAGACAATTTTCAGAGACTAAAGTACACTTAAATGATTTTATGCAGGAATCACAACATGCTACACCTAGTAACACAAGTGAAACCTATGTGCCAATGGCATGTCATTATCTATCCTACTTCAGGTACAGCAGTCTGCACAAAGTGCCAGTTAATGACCAACTTTGACACAGGAGTGAACATGTTAATGCAACGCCTGTTATGTGGTTCTGTTAATTCACTAGCTAAGCTGAAATAATATAATTATTTCCACATATGACACTAACATTTGAGCCAAGTTGCCACTAATAGTGTAAGAAGATGCATAATTAAGCCTATGTTTCCAGCAGAACAAATCGTTCATGATGCATGCTTAAAGACGATTTTGAAAATTAATTTTTCTGTTTTGAATTTCTTGCCCTGTAATCAGCTTACATATTTAACTGCATAAACACTCCATAAAGTCCCTTGTGCGAGAATAAAATAAAATGGCTCTACCTACAAGTAAATTCCAAGTTTTAAGAACAAATAAAAGTTTTATATTTCAACATAGCTTTGTGTTGTCATAAAAATATTCTACATTAGTCCTCTCAATTCCAGGAACTCCTTTTCTTGAATCTAGCATTTAACTGTACAAACACATACACTGAAATAGAGCATGTCATTTATTCTAAATGTTTCATGAATGAAACTGGACTGAATGGTGTAAAAGTCATATTTATATTTTTGGATTGCAACACTTAGGACAAGAACTGCAATCTATATGTGCATACGTATGGTAATAAACGTACTTCTGCCAAATTCTTTCCTTTTACTGAAAATTTGAAACCTTCATTAAAATTATTTTAGTAGCAATAAAGTAATACCTAGAAACCAAAGAAAATGACTTTCATTTTCAGGGTTCAGTTCTAGCTAATTTTTAAAATGAAGACCTTTCTGAGCTGTGTAACAGTGAATACTGCTCTCGACACAGGTATAATCATAAGGAAGTTATTATACCAAAATAAAAGCTGCAAAATTAATACAAAATACTCGAGAGACTGTTCTCACCTTGGTTAGGGTATATCTCATTAGTATAGGTACGCAGCAGTCTCAGACTTGCTTGACTAATATACACAAGCCTTTCAAGGTCTAAAAGGGCAGCTAGGTGACCTGATGTTGAACTGCTTATGTGGGAAATGTCAACCAACCCGGCCTTGAAAGTGTTCCAACTCCACTGCAGCAGAGCTAGCAATGACTGGAAACATTCCTACAGTCACAAAAAGAATTTGAAAATTAAAAATTCTTGTCACCCATCTGGAATGTGCTTGTAAAAACACATCTTATATTTGCTCTTATAATTCTCTATGCCAGACATTATCACCATACAGGGATGCCTCAATTCTGGTAGCACAATCTGGAGTTTCAAAATCCTACATGTTTCCTGGAATACATTAGCATTAACAAAATTTTCTGTTGTTCAATATTTCTTTCTGCTATGAATCATTCACTAAATAGTATGTATTAATATAATGTTGGCAATGATACCAAGTTTTATAATCTACAAAAGCAACCAATTTTGATTGGATGTGCTCGAAAATTAACATTACAAATGTGCTTTTATCTTGTGAGATTACTCATTGATCTGATGATGCAGGTAGCAAGCACCTCTAAAACAATGGTAAACTTCTACGAGACAAACAGCACAACAACCTAGAAGACAACCATCTTCATGCTTTTATCTTCTTTGTGTCTTGAAGAATTAATAAAATAGACAACATAACAGTAACTTGTTTCTGTTTGTTATATGCATGAAGCATCATCATCAAACATTTTAAATATAAAGGTAGTTTACCAATAACTGTTTGGGTTTCCCAAATATTACACTTACACAGAAGGATTATGGATAAACTGGTGGAAATGGTACACCCAGAGGGGAAAAAATGTCTTTACTTCCATTCACAAACCATCCTACCACTTAACACTAGATAACCTATACTGTTGAAAAGGCATTATTAAATAAGCTATCAATCAAACTATCAATTAAAACTTCTGACACACTACAAGAACTCTCTATGTATAATATGAAAGACAATTAATACAAGCAGTCAAATTCTGATTTACAACTTTATATATACATGCAATTATATTAATAGTCTTGCAACTTACTTTACTGACAGCTCGTGAAAATTCACGGCTCAGGACATACACTGGTTCTGAGTGTTCAGTTTGTCTGTTAGGTGTCCGGTTTTCAGGTGTTACCACTCTGTACAATAATTGAGGAATCTGGCCAGCATTGACATCAGTTCCATTGTTTGACTTCTTGGAGGACTTGAAGTAGAATACAACTCTATAAAAAGCATACAAATTTAAGTCAACATTGTTTCAGTCATCAAAGCTTCATAATAATATCAACAAATTTGATACATATAGAAACTTACTGGTCTTCAGTAGTAACCATTCCCTGTCCACTGGAGCCGCAGTCACTAGATGGACCACTGACTCTAGCCCAAGCAACATACCATCTGTTTGCCTAGAAAACACACAGAATCGCAAAGGGAAATTATATACTGCAAATGAATGAGGTAAAAGTGAAGTGAAGTAAAAGTAAAAGGACTGATTGACTGATATTCTGCTGCAATGCAAAAGAGAACAGGAAAATTTGTAAAACTTTGTTGCACGAAAAACAAAAAAAATGTCCATATAAACATAAAGTTGGCCAAACTGTATGGGTTACTAACATGGAAGACTAGGAGATGCTGCATGATTAATGTGCACATACTTATACCCAAATATAAGTTACATGCAGCACCTGGACCAGAGTATAACACATTATGCAAACCACAAGCACTTGGTCTAGTACAATTTTTCAGAAAATGGCATATCCATGACCATATTAATCTCATCATTTAACATCCTTATATCTATACAAAAACAATCCATTTCACCTAATAACAGCAATTCAAAAACATAATACTCAGAAATTAAATAATAATTTTAAAAAGCAATCACTTTAACTTAAAATAAAATTAAAATTGCCACTAACCTGTAAAGGTACAGGTTCCTCAAATAGCATGGGATACTTCTGACGAGGCCCACACTCATATGGCACTTCCTCAGTCTCTGCCAACATCTCTCCATCAGTTTCCTGCTCTCCGCCATCAACACCGATGTCAAACAACTGCAAATGAACATGTTTTGGTCACCTTAATTTTAAGAAAACTCTAGTCATGTCAGTACAATTTCCAAACATGTGATGTGTGTTGGAACCTTCTTTATACAAACAGAATAGCAACAGTTTTGCAGAGAGAGCATCAAAAGCATGTCATGCTGTGTTTAAATGTACACGCAGCATTTTGTGTGTGGTAACTGCCATTTAAACTAGAAATGAAATATAAATTGTGACAGTCCCCCACCTCATCATGCAAGACAACTGCAGAACATAGTCACGGCTCTGAAAGTTAGGCATGTCACTTTCTTCAAGTACCAGACACTTGCACTGGATCTATTCGTGCAGCCTTGTACCACTATTAATGGTATACAATGGTACTCATTGTTATGCAACAATGTGTGACATGCCCTGTATAAAAAACCAGAATTGCTGGAAGATGGCAAACTTTTCCTCCAAGACATCACAATTGCAATTTGTAAAACTTGTCACAGGCCTTGTGTTGGTGCACCCTAATTATTCACCAGTCACATCACCAAATGACTATTTTTTGTTCTATGAAGTGAGGAGCTATATCAGGGATGCCAGTTAGAATCTGTAAATTCCATAAACAAGGCTGTCACAATAATAAACTCTAAAAGCAAACAAGATTACAATGCTGTGAATGATCAACTACGTCAATCAAGACAGAAGTGGGTGTCGAACAATGTGGTGACCATGAGCAACAAGAAAGGTATGACTAAGATAATGACAGTTTCTATGCTTTTTTTTTTTACTTTTAAGTCCATGAAGTTATGGGATCATTTTCAATCTGAGAATGTCATATAGATAAACCTAATTAAAGTCTGAATTCATCTTACACTTCAATAAATATTAAATTACATGAAAACAAGGTACATATGTACATGTTGTATCACAGACATAAAGATATAAACTAGTCTCTAGTATTCATATTTAAATCAGTTTTATAATATTTACAACTGCTTATACATCAACCACACCTTAATTTTCCCTGTGTATTCACCACGACCTCCAAAAAGGCCAAAACCTCCAAGAAGGATGTCAGTATCTGCCATAAATCTGACTGCTTCGATGGAATGTCCAGAATAGCCCCATCCTCCTCCATGACCTGCAGAAAATCAATACAAAAATTAAGGATCATGACAATTTGTACCCTTCCTTTAATATTGTTGGACAATTAAATAAAGAAGGAAGAAAGGGTAAAGCATCCAGCATGAGGGAATCACTTTTTGACGTAAATACGTCTATATGGAAGGGTCATTCCGCAAAAAACTGTTACGAAAAGTGTAACGAAAAAGTGACAGAAAAATGTGTAAGATCTGTATCAACAAATCAACAACAATGTGTAAATATGGACCGACAACAATGGTCAGCTTGATGACATTGAAGATAACATTACATTACTTTACTTTACATTACATTACATTATATTACAGAGACCTAAATATAATTTAAATACAGAGACGTATTTACGTAAAATTCTCCGGAACCGCGGTTCCACTGTAACTTTTTATAAAAGCTTGATGGAAGAGAACAAATGGAATACAGAAGTATAGACATGAGGAAAATATAACATGTGAAGTGGACTGTATTGGTGTGGAATAGGGTCCATTAAAGGGCTTTGTGAACCTAGTGATGAATGTTTTAGCTCTTTCCATTATCTGTTAGTAGTTCAGTTTCAATTCCCTGCCTGTACATATGACATAAACAGGTCGATATTATTTACTACTGTCATCACTTTACTGTTAATTTTCTCCATACAATTTGTATCAAAAACAGTATATACAATAACAAAACCTCATAAGCCACTATGTGCACAGTAACTTAGTCCATAGTAACTTAGTGTTAAAAAAATAAGTGTACATTTTTAAAAAGTATGAGCATTTGAAACTAATTAAACAAACTTAATTATACAACAAAAGCTTATTAGTATCAACCAAAACAATAACACAATTTTTCATTTAACTGGCAAATGATTTAGTCTTAAGCAGACACTGTGTGAGGAGTTCCTCACTGGAGAAAAGGAGTTACCAGAAAATGGTTTTGCCATATCAGCCCTGAATCATGACCCCTTAGATCTTCATAAATAACTTCTATTAACTTTCTTGTACAGGGTTATGTTAGATATCATGTCAATGTCCCACTCATGGGTGTCATGCTTTAGTGCTTTAGCACTGAAATTGTGAATCCAGTGCAACAACCTTGGAAAATGTTTGGGATAACTTCCTACATCATTTGAATATTGTCAGAATTATGAGTGCAGTATTTACTGAGTACCTCTGAAGTTATGAAACTCTGAAGTTAATAAGATATTGTAGGTGCGTCATTAATATATTTTAATACTATTTCTGAAGTTAATGTTTAAACTGATATAATAACTTTTATAGGGCAATCAATTTATTCTAAAAAAGTTGAGTGTAAACCATTTGAAATAACCTCGTGTATGCAACAGTTTCTTTATTCATAACTCACTTTCAAAGCGAGTGACAGCTGAAAAGTCCTCCCTGCTGTATACTTTGCCACAGCCAGCCTGATTGTCTTCACTGTCTTCCCTGACAGTAAAATGCTGATCTTGTGCATGAGTCAGAGTGTCGAGACAACTAAGGAGGTGCAGAGCTGCCTGAGATCGAGTGACAAAGCAAGATGCTACTACAGGCAGAGCAAGCTCTGGACTGAGAATTGATGGAGGAAGAAATGCAGTGGCTCTGGACTCACAAGCAACCACATTGTAGCACGTTACATCATGGGTCCCAGGGTGATAGCTAATAAAATAAACAACATGAGATTTGAGGCTACCATGGCAGTCAAGATGCTAATCTTGATCTAGGTTTTAATACTGTGTGCACTTGTAGGTAGAACCAAAGTTTTGAAGAAACATGTATCTCCATCTTCAAGATGGAAGGGAGACAGTATTATCCTCCCAAACATTGATATCTTATCTATAAGTGTACGTGGCATTACAGTCCAGAAGACCAAGACTGACAAAATACAAACTGCAATATTTACATAAAAATTTTAAACACAAAATCACATAACTGTAACAGACATAGAAGATAGTCTTTGTACACTAACACTTTCACAAACAGAAGATTACTAAACTAAAACATACAACACAATCACTGTGTTATCACTGATAATGCAATAATGTGATCTGTATAGCATAACAGAAATTCCTTTCTAAAGCTCCCATCAAAAATATGTTTCATTAATTTACCTCCACAATACATTATACAGTGGATCAAGACAAGTGGCCGTGTTTGAAAAATCCACCTGGTCAACTCCACTAAAACTACTACAGTTGCCATCACGTTTGTTAATAGCCAAGCACTTGAAAGAATTTGCATGATCATTCTGTGCAGGCAGCAAAACTGAAACATAAAAATAGAATTTAGTATACCACAACACAACTAGAATATAATGTCCTTGGTCCACAGAGCAAACACAGTAGTACACTCAGATCTGAGTAACTTGTGTTTTGTTGTGGTCCCAGAAAAAAAGAAAATTATGTATAACAGAATAATAAATCTAAAACGAGCATTATAATCTGAGTATTTATACAGCTTTCCCACTAATGTCTTTGCTCAATCAATATGAACATTACATACTACCGGGTCTTCAATTTATGCGGTAACAGCCATGCTTGCATTGCGTGCTCGGCCAGTACACTGTTGACGTCGGCAGACTGGTGCGTGTTCTTCCCGTGAGTCACCGGCGAATCAGTTTCATTGCGTCTCTCGTGGCGGATTGACGTTGATAATATGGTGTATAGTATTAAGCAACGTGTGTTCTTAGTCGAAACATATACCAAATATTCATCCTACAGAAGATTCTGCCAAAAATTTTGCAGACTTTTCCTGGTGTAAGTGTTCCTAGCAGGTCCATGATAGACAGATTAGTAAAACAATTTCGTAGTACGGGATCAGTTTTGGATAAAAAGAACAGGAAACAGAGTGTATTGACGGAAGAGAAATTGGATGAAATTGGGGCTTTCTTAGAAAAAAGTCCAAAGAAATCTTTGGCACGTTTAGCTGCACAATCTGGCGTGTCATTGGGATCTGCTCACACAGCAACGAGACTTCTGAAATTGCGACCATATAAGACCACTGTTGTTCAGAGACTCACAAATCCTGACACTGGTGCTAGGATTCGTTTCTGCAATTGGTTGTTGGGATCCGTGCATGATGGGATTGTTAATCCAGAGCTATTGTTTTTTAGTGATGAAGCATGGCTGCACTTAAGTGGATATATCAACACTCAAAACAACCGCTACTACAGTTCCGAAAATCCACATCACTTGCATGAACGTCCTCTTCATGACATTAAGGTTGGAATAACATGTATTAGTGACGAGAAATATTCGTAGTTCACTGTTACTAGCGGCACTGAAACTGATTCGCCTGTGACTCATGGGAAGAACACGCTATCTCTCTCCCACACCAACAGTGCACCCGGCCGAGCACGCAATGCAAGCATGGCCGTTACCGCATAAATTGAAGACCCAGTATTTAGCATATCTGGCAGGTAACACAGTACAACTGCATCTCATATTAACACTACTTCCCTCTGCTTGAGCTCGAGTATGAGTTATAAAAAACAGATTCTTGTTGGTCTGCATATTACTGCCATCTAGTCTCAAGAATTTAAGTTGTACATAAATGTCACATCACTGCAACAGTGTTCAAAGTCTTGTCTATTGAGCATAATATTGTCACCTGTGGTAACATTTCTCAGTTTTAAGCAGTTATAAAACTGTAAACATTTTTTTACATATAATGTCTAGTATTTGAATTTTGTGTTAGTAGTTACTATGACTTTTATTTATACACATACATAATAACATAAAGCTCAAAACAAGTTACATTTTTGCCTTAAAGTTATATTGTTTTAGGATAGCAGTAAAAAGATATTTCATAGTAAAAGGTTAAAACTCTGAGAAAGTGCACACAATGAATGTGAAAATGGAAGTGACAAACACAAATGGGTGAGCATCATTTAGAAGTCGTCAAAAACTTAGTTACACTTATCATTCGAACAATTCTTAAGAACACAGCCAAAATTAAGAGTTTAGTAAATAATTAATTCAGGTAGCCCTCCATTTGTGCTGGTTCAATTTGCGCTGATTCAGAATAACACCATTTTGATACCAGGAAGTCAAAAAGTGAAGAAAAATTGTTTACTATTATTTATAACGTTTTACAATGTATCTCATACTTATTCTTATACTAAATTGTAATTATTACATCGCTGATTTTAAATAAAAATTATAAATACGGTCATCTCTACAATTACGTATGTTTCGTTAACGTGAATTTGCTTGAATAAGATCAATGAATCGGTAAAAGCTGTTTGTGAAATGCAAACTTTTGCATATGTGAGTTTGCTCTTATGCAATTTCATTCCTGGCACTTTAAACTTTCAAAGGACTAATTTAATCTCTGCAGAGGTACCGGGGTTATTTTGACTACGTGATTTTCTATAGGTCGGCATCTTACATGAACAGCAGAGATGACTGTACACATCAATCACATGAAAGAATCGCAGTCAATCGCGGGGACCAATGAATTGCTGATTGTAAGTGTATAAAATATATTTTTTAAATTCCCTTTATTTTATTTACGTTATTTCAGAGCTTTAAATGTAATGCCATTATATTAATCGTCAATGTTTGGGTGCTGGGAACACATTGTATTAACTTCTCATTGATTTACATTATAAAAGAGTTTGAATTTACAGCAATTCCGTTTATGCCGGTTCGTCTAGGAACACACCCCTGTCGTAAATCGAGGGCTACCTGTACATTCCTACAGCATGTCTTGCAACTACATTTTTTGATTACTATGTAATATATACTATGTCTCTATATTCATTTGTCAATTCACATTACATTCACACATCATCATGATAAGTAGGATCATAATGTATTTTATTATAAAATACTAAGAAATTTTGTATCATAAATTATTTTTCAAATTAAATATAAACCTTTTGATAATCTAACAAAACTTACTAATGCTGGTTTTATTGGCCATTACTGTAGACCTCGTCAAACTCAAAGAATTAATCAGACTTTCATCTATTTTAAGATATGTCTGATCACCAGATGCCCCAACCCAAGTGGCCCTTCGCCCATGCCTTGGTCCAATGTTTGGCACTGGACCTGGATATGAATACCAAGGACCATCTCGACACAAGCAATCATCCTTTTTGTTGCTGGTGACTGGTAATTCATGTCCTATGGCAGGAGATGGACGTCCCAGTTGACCTTTCTACAACATTTAAAATATGAGTGTAAAAATTTCATATGGAAAACCAACCACTACAGAATTCCTCTTTCAATTATAGGAAAATTGAATGGCAATATTCTAACAATATTTAGGTACATGTGAGTGTGTCCTATGATGAATGTTTTTTCTACTACCTTCTCTTTCACCTAATTTATGTTAAGTCTTTGGTTCTGACCCAATGACAAATTTAAAATATAATTATGAGGATTGTACTTATAATTTACTAACCTCTGGTTAAATCTGATTCTGTTTCACTCTATGATTGTAAGCATTTTATATTCCTTTTATAATCAATTAATTTATATCATCTTACATTTTTATTAAATATGACAACAAGAAAATAATATCTTACTTCAAGTGAACAGACATTTAAATATAAAGTCCACAAATGCCCTTTCCTTCACAAAACAAGAGCATATTTATTTTGAAAGCATGAAGACTATAGGAGATACCTTCATGCAGAAATGTTATTTTTCTATATGGCAATAATAGCCTTTTATGACACTGCATGTAAATCAATATCAGCTTGTAAAATGTATGTATCAATCTATTACCAAGTGGTTGTAAACAACTACAATCAAGCAGCACTGTCTCAACTGGTGGGGGGAAAGCCTCTGAACCCATAATAAAGCAGATTTCTTGTTTTGACCAGCAAGGAGAAAACACACACAGCAATATATTTTTATTCATGCTGATCTTAACACAAGTCATTCATAAAAATCCCCCATGGTAAAAACAGGCTCCAAGTGTACTGTTAATAAAACAAGAAGTAAAGAAAATAACTTTTTCTGAGGACAATAATGTAATATAAACGTCACAACAAAATTAGCGTATCACTATGCAAATTATACGCCTAAATTTTATCTTTGATTTCACACCAAACAAATGAGTTTACATTGATAACAACAATTAAAATGTGAAGATGATCTTATCACTACACTTACCTATGGATGATCAACAGCAACATGTGAAAAATTGGCTGGTCAGATGGTGATGAAGCATTAATACATAGTATTTACTGTACACAAGACTAGTAATATGTATGGATAAAAATATACATATTATATGTAGCTGCTTTATTATAAAATGATTTTAAACATAAAATAAAGTGAATCTCTAAAAAAATATCATACCTGGTAACTTCCAAATGTGTACACCTCTCCTTTATTATTAAGTACAGCAGTATGATTACTACCAGCTGCAACATGAACTGCATGCCATGCTAATTTGACCAGTGTGGGGCCCCCACGTGGAAGGAGATCACCAATGCCTAGCTGGCCATATGTGTTACTGCCAAAAGTCATGACTTCCCCACTTTGAAGCAACAGCACTGTATGATGTAAACCACAGGCAATTTGTACCACAGGACTCTCAATAGGTAAATGGACTCTTGCAGGAGGAAGAGATGTTACACGACTGGCATCTCTCTCCACATCACTACTCCCAGCTTGCTCCTCAACTGGATAACACAGCAAAACAGAGTAAAAAGATATCACCTGCAAAATATAAAAGCCAGTTTGATGCAAGTCTGCTATAATGTTTTCACACTTATTTGCTCACACAGAGGAAATGAGCATGAATCTCACAAAAACAAAGTCTAACAAACCTCATACAAAAAGTTCTCAATGATGTTATATTGCAAAATGTTCTGTATAAGGGCCCAAGGTTCTTCAGTTTCATGAGACTTTGATAGAACATGGAGCAAAAACATTTCAATGGAACAAATTTGGTGTGATGAATATTGAAATTCAGTGAATACTTTTGCTAATAATGTAAAAAAATCTAAACAGACAATGCTATGCAACATAACTCTACATGTATATTGTCATGACTTCAATTTGAGAATCCTGCACTAAACAGATGACCTACTGCCACACTACAAAGATGTCATGTTTGTTCCAAGATTCACATTAACATGTTCTAAGTTTCATTTCCACAACTATTAAACTTTATATGAATGTTTTTCTTTTGTGAGCTGAGTGCTACATGTCAGTAAGTATTGCTGTATTAATGATAATATTAAATAAATTAATTACATACTCTCTAATTTGGGGAAAATTTTTACCAACCAGATGTTTAATTGCCTTCATAAGTATTAAACATAATGACATATGTTTTAAAATGTTGTAAACTCTAATGGACTTATACTGTAGTTACTGTTTAGCTGGTGTATCACTAATTCAGGTGAGAAGGTTTAAGACAGTTATGCAAAGACAAAAAGAATTTAAGATGTGTCCCAAAAAATAAGAAAATATACATAAAAAAATTCATCTAATAAATTCTGTGATTCTAACATACCTAGTATACTTTGAGCAGCTGGTATAACTGGTGGTGGAGGGCGAAATACTGATGGAACAGGCTTTGCTGTTACCACTGTAACAGTTGAAGGACCAGCCCTAGTATTAACACCTTTCATTTTGAGACAATGCTTGGTTGACCCACTAGCTAATCTACCTCGCTGCCTCTGCTTTCGTTCATCCAACCGTCGCTGCAAATGATCCTGTAAGCGTGCTCCATGTCGTCCTGAAATAATCATCATATATTCAAAGTCATCAGCCGTTCAACATATCTTTAAAAATATTTAAATTCAAACAAACCAATTATGGGTCCCTCAAATGCAGAGACTGAAATTCTTAAGTTCATCTAATTTAAACTCCACAGCTTGATACTTTACACTTCATATTTTACGGAAGTGTAGGTTACTACATTTCATTAAAGTATTAAGTACAATGAGTGAACTTAGTGAAGCCAAGAAACTTATCAGAGACTAAATGTTTTAAAACAAATTTAATTTTCATTTAGTTCATCATCATTCACTTAAACAATAAAGCTGAAAAGAAGAAAACCTGAAGCGAAAAACTGTAAATTAACAAATTCTTTTTAAAGATAAAATGCTTTGAATTTCACATTCTTTTTGCTAATATGCAGCATAAGCAATGGTAATACAACACATGAAATTTACTGCACTAAGCAGTTCTTCTTCCAAATGTAACTTACATTACTGATGAGTTCAGGCACATTCACTATTATGACACTTATTGTCTTGTACTAAGCTCCTCTCTGATTTGCATCACTAAGCCCAGAAAATGTTATAGCAGTAGCTTGAAATTACTGACCTTCAAAACAGTTCCAACCAAATTCACTAATACAGACTCCATACAGAACATCCATGCAGAAGTGTAAAATATAAACAGATATGCACTTTTCACTGAGCCAACAGATGCAGTGGCAAGTTTTGTATTTGGGAACTTTAGATATACACATCTAATTGAACACTATTTTACTCATCTATCAATCCCATTCAGATTAATGTTCAACTGTTCAATTCAACAAATTGATGTCAGTGGCATGCTGGAGACTTTTTAGTTAGATAACACATTTACAAGTCTCCAATGTTAACAAAATGAACATAAGGAATGGAGAATATTGGCATATCAAACATCAGACTAGAAATGGTTTTAACATGCATGTTCAAAAAATTACATCATAACATTTACAGATGCACTTAAAACTATTATAAAAACTTCTGAAGGTGAAACCTACTTTCAGCATCACCTCCAAAGATAAGACCTAGTCTCATCATTCCAGCTAGATCACCTGCTCCACTAGGTCCCAAAATAGCAAGCTCCGAGTTGTCAACATTCTCCCTAGCACAGATCCGACAGCATCCACATTCTGCACAGCCGGAATCCCCTTCACCACACCCACATTCCCTGGTAAAAATATAGTAGCTACTAATTCTATAAAGTTTCTAAGTATTCACAAGGTACAAATAAAATAATTAATTTTTTAAACCTGAGATTAAACTTTAAACAAATGTTTTCTTTCAGTAGGTGAAAACCAAATATCAAGAACTGAAACATTTTTCACAAGCTGTCACCAACAAAAGACATTCTCAACAACTCACTCTGCTTCCAAATTAGGACTGTACATAAACTTACCTTGCTCACAAGAAACAGCAAAGTTTGCATCACAAAAACAAAGGCATCTGTAGAGAAGCTAAAGGAAAATGAGTTTTAACATAAAAATAATTTTCTGTCAAGTTTAACCACACAGTTGATAATTAAACTTGCCTGAAACATGTAGAATTTCCATATGCTATAGATAATGGTCTAACTTTAACAACTCAGAATGAAGAAAAGCATAAGCAAGTAAAAATGTTCGCATTTCAGACCAATTCATAAACTTACATTAGCTTCGCTGTGCTCATCAATCTTGGTAACCATGTCAGTCCACACTGATAAAATGAATGAGATAAGTACTATACAAAAAGTTGGTCAAGTTAAGAGAACAGTGATATGGACATGTGTCATTCATGGACAACATCATAACTTCAAGACCACCAAAAATGCGGGTGCTGGTAACTATGTTGACACTAGGAAGACAAGACTAGGAGGAGAAACCAAGTGGGAAAGACACAAAGTACAGAAATCATGGACACAGATATAAGTGAAGCATTTATGGGAGGACAAAGAAGGCAGAAGACTGTCAAGAGTATGGTAGAACTGTCACTTAATGATGACATTCATAGAGACTATTCAAGATCATTAACCAGAATTTCAAAATCTCTGTGCATATCCAAAATTTACTCACTGTCCAGGGTTCCGGTCAGGCCGCATGCTACTCAGGCAACTGATGCTATAGCCTGTACATTCTCGACACACAGTACACACCATGCAGAGGTCATGCTTCCATTTGTGTTTCCCTGGAGGACACATTGTCTCTTGGGCATCCTCCCAATCCAGCTCTTCATTGTCTGCCTCCTCCTCACCTGTAGTCTCCATAGCAACTACCATAGGAACTACATAATGAAAAACTACATCAGAACAAAACACAGTACATTCTGTTACTACATTCATGAAATTAATTGAGTTCTTTGAATTGGTATGTCAAAGATGGGAGGAGTCTCCTCCTGTCCGCAGCCATTACAGAATGTCACTTGGCCTGACAGAATTTCATGAAATGTTAATTTTTAGCACTAAGTAATTAAAATAATTACTTGAAACACAGTCGTTTTTGAGAAGCTTAGTCACTATCCACCCAGAGTCAGATTAATCTAGTCCACACCCATCTACTCTATTTCCTTAAAGTCAGTTTCAATGTTATCCTGCCATCCAAGCCTCTGTTTTACAAATAAGTTGTCTCTTCCCTTCAGGATTTCTGATCAACCTTATACACATCCCATCTCCCATGCATATTATATGGATCACCCATCTCAACCACTATAATTATTTCATCATATTTTTTCAGAACAACATTTAATTTGTCCTAATATTTTTCTGGTTATCTGTTTAGGGACAAATAAACTTAATTAAAAATTAAAAAGTCTACTGTTCTTGTGTTCAATAACTACATGATGCAGAATTTTCCATCAGACAATTAGTAAATTAAGACTCGCTATTCTGTGAACCACAGGAAAACACTGGAACCTGGCAAGATACAATTCCTTTACTATACAACAAAGTACAAAAAATGAATCTCCTAAATTTTGCTATTACTTTTATATAATCCTTTAGCCTTGTCATTCCAACATTTTACTATTCAATATAATGCACACAAAACTGACATAAATAACATTTACAATTTTTACACCTTTTTTTATATCTCCGTAATAACAAACAAAATCACAAAGTCAATATAGACTTCAAATCCTCACGATCATACACTTGATTTTCATGTGTAGCCAACAGCTGTTTGCATAGATAATACAAAACACTCAGACGTAATCATTAGATATGAGGTGTTACCAAATTTTGTTCAAATTACTTCTTTGGCATACCCTAAATAAACACAGTACCTGCAAGTGTTCTTGCATATGCAAAGACTGAAGCTCTTCATTTTTGTTGAAACACATATCAAAACATTATTTAAAGCAGAAAATAGCCAAAACTTTTTTCTTTGTATAAGAATGTGATCACAGTAAATGTATTTTTAAGAACTGCTGCTACAGACAGCAACATTACACACAAAAAAATAAACACCAATATAACATAAGTATTTAGGTTCTCTGAGGTTTCAATGTGGGGCATATAAAACTGTGTACCATAAAGTTACATGACAAAAGTTGTGGGAAAGACATAATGACCCTTACTTTCCCGCAAACATTTCAGTCTATATAGAGACCAACAAAAACTACAAATTAAGAATTACATAATTTCATAATCCATTTTTGTACATAATATCAACCAGCATAGGTACCAACTATGTTAAATTTATTGGACATAACAGCAAAGTTTATTGCCATCATCATGTTTGAAATTGCTGATACAAAAAATATTTCATACGTGATCTTAAGTCTGTTCTCTTCCATTTTATCCATAACAAAGTGTATTAAGATTTATATACAATACCTTCTTTGATTTGTGCAGCAAAGTCTCTGCCACACTGCCCCTTATTGTTTATCCCAAATGTATATACATGTCCTTTATTGGTGAGGGCCACAGTATGAGCCTTTCCAAGTGAAACTTGCGTTACATGCACGTCCTTTAAGTCAGTTACAAGTCCTGAAATTTGAAACAATACAGTTGGATTACAAGTAAAGACAATTTCTGAAGGCAAACAACATTAGATTCTTTCTTTCATCATTCTACCTGTAGAGCTATCACAATGTGCAGTGTCTTTTCCAAACATAAGAAGTTCTCCTTCTTTAGAAACAAGGGCAGTTGTACCATTGTTACATGCTGCATGCACAATGTTCAGTCCATCAACTTTAATCATCTTCTTTGGTTTCACTGGTTTTGGTTGACGTCGGGCTTTGTCTAGAAAGAATCGTAATAAAAAGAAAATCAATGGTATAAGAATTATGTAAACTGAATATGCACCTAACATAAATGATATGTGAAAAATATTTAAATTTTCTACATAATACAAACTTTAATAACAAATTCTTTTGAAAAAAAAATGTACTATATATGACATTAAAACAGTCACTGAATGACAAAATATGAAAATAGTACACACTTATGCAAATAACAAACTACATGGCACAGACAGTTGAAATTTCTAGTGGGGTTTAAAATAAAGAGAACCAAGACCTTCTGGGCTTTTAATCTGACTGGTAGGTAGGAGTTAATTTTAGGGGTCCTAAAACCAACAGCAATAATAAATCTAAAATAGGAAATCAAACAGCAAATTTGGGTTGCACAGTGATCAGTATGAGATGTGGAGGAGGAGAAGGAGCAGCAAAGAAAATTAAATATGACAGAAATCAACAGAGTTGAAGCATGAAAATGGCAGTACAAAAAGTGAAAAGGAAGGAATGCTGAAAAGCCTTTTATGGTTTCTCCCAGTCACATCAAAGCAACCAAAGATCACTTTGTTCAAAACCTAATTTTGTTTTGTTTTGGAAAACTGAATAAATATTCTTACACTCTTCCGGAATAACCTTCAGGTTTGCATTCCAACATACAGCTGCAAATATAACATAAAATGACCTTGATTATTCTTACTCTGGTCTCCATCTTCTCCTCTTCGAGCTGTTCCAGCAAAAAATACAGTGCCATCTTCAGCCAGAAGAATAGCATGCAGACCCTCATGTCCAATGGCAAAATGAACTACCTTGGGTGATTTGGTAACAGGAAGCTCTGCCCATTTTCCACTCCTCAAACCACCTTGCTTGATGCCCAAACTTGAAGACTTACCACAGTAGAGAATCTAATACAATGACAACACAAAGTCACACAATTATGAATATCTAAGAAAAATATTGTATTTTTTCTACTTGTAAATGTTGAATTATGCCATAATTATAATTTCTACAATTAGTTAAAACATCACCTAGGTACAAAATGTATTATTAATATCAATTAACTATTGCAATGTTCACATAAAATTCTAGGATGTGTTCATGGTTTCATATTCTATTAAAAGTACCCATTACAAAGAAACAAAAAAATTGTTTTCCTCCACTTAGTCAACCAAACTATCCTGAATGCCTTTTTAGCACCTACCTTTCCTGAATTTATCCTTGAAAGCCCAAAATCCTTTCCTGCTGCTATAACAACAGTCTCTTCGTCACATCCAGTATGTATGGTATGGATATTAGCATCTTCATCAAATGATGCAGTTCCAAAAACATCCAAACATTTCCTTGCCAATTTCAGTGGCAATTCATTTACAGACACAACAGGACTGCTTGCAGGATTCACCATTCGAACAACAAAACCATCCTGGAAGGAATTATGAAATACAACCATTTAAAAATATATTAATATTACTTTAGCCGAGAAATAGAAAATTAGAAATCAAGACAAGAAAGTAACCACCCATATGAGATTCTACCACGAATTTGACATTGTGATCATACATCATTATTTGTACAGATTGTTGTTCAGACATTAAGAGTGGCTCTTAAAACTGTTTAACATACAGATTTTATTAATTTACTACTGACCCAATTATTTTAAACAGATTTCCAGTAAGTGTGATCACACAGCAAAACTTATTAAAACAGGAATATACTACAATAGTACTAAATAGAATACATTACTTGCTATTTCAGAGACAAAAATTTCAAGCTCTCTGAAACATCACGAATATAAATACAAGGTCAAATAAATTAATTAAGAGTGAAATGTTAAAAACATCAATACAACCGCAGATGGAAAGAAACTGCAAACCCTAAACAAATTATATCAACTCACGTCTTTGGCTGATGTGATCATCCCAAGATTCTCTCCATCTGAGAACATTACACATGCTCCCCAGTCTTTACCTTCCAAGTTCACAACTTCAGAAACCCTGAAAGACTCCTTATCAACTGCTAACAACTCACAACCTTTCTTGTTTAAGTTCTTGAAGTATAACAAACCCTAAAACAGAGGCATACTATTATTACAGAGGGAAAGGAAACTCTCTAAATTAGTGTACAAAAGAAAAACATCTCACATACAATACTTTGGTCCTCAAGTGTTTCACATTAAAAAGTGCAATATGGAGTAACAATTTTTAAAATTTACCTACTCCAGACTCAAAATTGTGGTTGCTTCTGACAGTATCCCCATCATTCAAAGACACTTGATATGTCTTTCATAGCATCAAATATTTATTGCTTCCAACAAAGGATGTATAATAATAATCATCATCACTCTGCCAAAGATTGGGCCCTTGACCCATTCCGAATAGTTGCTCAAGGCAACTTAAAACAAAATTCAGACTTGCTCAGTATACTTAGTATAGATCCTGAATACAAATTTTCACTTTCTTTCACCCACAGTGGCATATCATCATCATCTTCTTCGCCATCATTGTTATTATAATATAGTAAATACTTGCAGATATAATGATATTAAACTTTACTGTACTATGGATGTGGCAAAGTGGACTTTAAATTTCTGGTTAACAGTTTAACAGTATGCACATAAAGCTGGACTTCATGCAAGATGTGACCCAAAATGATGAAAGTCAAAGCTGTACATGCACTGATATGGAACATACCTAACATTGCTTAAAGATGTGATTCCCACTACCTGTATATCTGCTGCTTATAAGATGTGTGTAAACTTACAGCCTTATCAACATTTCTGAGATGAACAAATGATATTACAAAATGGGAGCACCCATAGATGAATTCTGTAAATACTACCAAGTGATAGTATGACAGCAAGAATAATGGCTGGCAGAGGGTATCTCTAGTTTAACATAGGCCGTAAGCCAGGACTGGAGTGTACGTAATCTACACATCACAAAAGCCTAAGCTTGAGCTGAGAAAACTCTGCACGCAGGCACGGAAGTCCTGTGCATTTCCTTACCACCAAGTCCACTGAAGCCTACAGATACCATGCCACAGTTCCCAAATTTCTGGACCATTGCTTCAGAGATGTAACTAAACCTTCTGAACAGAGACCTGCTTCAGAAATTACCAGTCATTTAGATGGTCAAGATTTTTGTTGCCAATTATGGATCAAAAAAGAATTCTGCTGTGTTCATAAGTCAACAAATGCCACTAAACATCCTTATATCATATTCCTATCTGGTACATATTAATATCGTCTACTTTTTACATTGCTTAGAGTGTGCCAAATATATACAAGTTCAAAGACCTTTCTGATATTTTGTAATGTACTACATTTTATGGCAAGAGATTGTTACCTGCTTGCTCAACCCCCAAGTTAGAGGACTACCCCTTGTCAATTGTCCATAACTGCTTATTCATTGTATTCACTACCAACTATACCTGGGACCTGATTCCTCCATCCACAGTACTGCGGCTTAAGACATTGTATTCATGTCAGCAGTCAAATTTTAAACTGAATGAAATGAAGTATTCTCACATGCTCAACTCAACAAGTACGGAGTTACAATTCATTGTTTCAGACACTGCCTCTGCCTTCTTCATCAATGTTTATGATGACACAGCCAGACACCTGAGAAGACTTTACTGATATATACTTTATTTGGAATAACTACAGACTGCTTGTATTTACGCCTAGCCTATATTATTCTCAAACAGTAAAGTGATTATTAAAATTTTTATTTTGTCAGTTTTACTGAATATTCTTATTTCATAAACTGACTTCCAAAACAGAGAACTAAGAAGCTGGATAATGAATTCAAACATTTTATACATGTTTTAAATTATAATAAAAAAGGAAGAAAACTCTTAGAACAATATTGAAAATGACAGAAAGATTACGTTTTGTACTACCAGGTACAAGGTATGCAGGCCTTAATGTGAGATACATGATAAAAAGCATTCATTAACTAAACAGTTACACATACTTCAAATTATTACAGATAAAATATGTATAGCATTATAATAATAAATCATGGCTGCTCAATGTGTACCAATTACCAATTCCTACATGAAATATTCAAATGACACTGATAAAAATGGTCAGGAATTTTTGAAGTTTTGCTTACACTTCTTGTGCTTAAGGAGCTAACCATTAGTTTCTCCCTTATGTCTGTAAAGACATAAAACATCTCCTAAACCATCCTTAAGATAACACTCGTAACAAAATATACAAAATTAAACTGTAAAAAAATGAAAGAATTGCTTACATTAGCATATCCTAACCATCCTCTGTCATCAAAATGGAATTCAGCTTTGTGAAGGTACACATGTCCTTTAATTGTGCCTCCATATCCTGAACCAATTTTAAGAAGTCCTCTGGAAGTGTAAAGGTACAGGAACTGTCCATCACTTGCTAGAGATTTGGCACTCAGTGATGCATTATACATATCTGGAAATGAAAGCATTCTTGGAAATGGGTAAATTATCCACTATTAAGGAGTAATTAAAGTAGTATGCAACTGTAACATTATAAATGTCACAGAACTGTTTGTTAGTGCTCAACATCTCAGATTCTTTATTTGATGGGCACATAAAGGTCTCTTGTTGTTCATTCTCTCCTATATTTTTCAGCTTAATAAATAACCACAAGGTGTTAGGTTCACTGTAAATGGTTGTGACCATGTGACCCAAAAGATTCAACAAAAAATAATACAACTCTAAATATATTCTAATTGGTTGCCTATAAAACTGTTGTATCATCCCTTGGTAGGAAAATTTTTAGCTGAAAATCTCTCCATGTGAGTCTCTACCTTCACCTCAGCAGTTCATCTTCAAAATAAATGTTAATTTGTTGTGTGTTTGTTTAAATAATTTTTTTTTCAATTACATGAACATACTAACAGTAAAGATTGGTCAGTAGGCAACATTCACAAAAGGCTAAAATAAATAAGGAATTTCAAAGATTCTATCTAGCAAAAACTCCAAACAGCAAAGAAAAATCCTCCCCTTGAATTTTGTAAAGAAAGTTTTATCATATACACCTCCACTCATCTTCACGTGGAAGGTGTCAACTCTGGAGTTCTTGGGTACACCATGAGTTATCCAGTCTGGTCTGACTACCTTCCCAAGCAACACACCATGCACACTTCTTTGCAGAGCTGTAAGTACTGCTGGCATCTGAAACCAACACAATAATTCTGCAATAAATATAAAGTATTTGGGAAAGAAACACAGTTTATTATTATAACTGACTAAACATAACAAAAAAGTGAGTTTTTATTTTGTCAAAGCCAAGGTTCAGAATGTAATGGAACTTTAACAAAAGAGAATGTAAAGGTGTACAGTGCCATTGATGGATCTAACACACAAGAAAATAAGTGAATTAAGAGCAAAAGTTCCATTTCCATCCCTACTTTCAGAAAGAATCTCTTCTCCTTCTAACCAGCCAC